TTTGCTGCAGGTTTCATCTGGAATGCAGATTTCAGCCTCCGGGCCCACGAACAAAAACCAACAAGACTGGTTTCATATTACTACTGTCCTAACTCTGCACAGCTATTGCTGTGAACTGTACGCAGGTACTTATCAAAGGCGTTCGCCACACCCAGTGACTAGGAGCTGCTTGGGTGGGCAGGGTAAACAGCCAGCACTTAGGAATACCAAGTTAACTGTTTAGAAATCAGGCAGGCTGTCCATCTGCACTGCACCCAAGCTTGGATTATTTCACACCAGAACAATCTCTGCTGACATATTTTTTGATAACTTTCATATATATATATTGCCACGGTAATACTATATGTGTGAGATTTGTTTTTGTTAATACTGGCAAAAACACTTGAAGGAGACCTTCAAGACTGTATTAGTCTATTCACAAAAGCTGTCAGGAATAAGATATATTTTTTTTCATCACATACATATAAAGAAAGTACAGAATACTCTTAAGCACCTTTGATATTCAGAAAGTCAGTAACATTTAGGTCAGTTTCCAGACAAAAGTCTTCACTTTTGTTTCTTTTCTTATTTTTGGAACTGCAGAGACTGCAAATCTGCAGGAATTTATACTCTTCTTATTCCCAGCCTTTAAGAAGTTTGTTTAGTCAAATTTCCGCATTGGTACCTTAGAAATTCAAAGGTACTATTCTTTTTTTTTGCATCCAAGTTAGAGTGTCATTCTACAGTCAGTCATTTAGCTGTGATGCATAATCTTAAACAAGCAACATGGGGAAAGCTGTCCTTCGCAGGAAAATCAGTTGTAGATCACACCACTGTGTGAAATTACTGAGAAAGATTTACTGAAAAGCTGAATATTACAGACAACAAGGAACAACAAAGTATCCCAACACATTTAACTTTTAGTTTAATGTTTAAAAATGCAGACTGTACAAAAAGCACATGTTTACCTTTTCAATATACTATAAAAGACTGTAAACTCAACAGCAAAAATCATTGGTATCTAATGCAGGAAGAAAGTTTCCTGAAAATCAGATTGTAATACTAAGGGTTTCGATGAATCTTACAGACACCTTTTCAATTACAGGGTTGCATTCATACCTATAGGCAAAGGGCACTGGAATCATTCCCATCTTTATCTGTGATTTAACATAGAACAATGTCTTCTGCCTTACTGCCTGCCATTTCCTGTAGTAAGCTCCGGACTTGCTTCTCCGCTACGCTTAATCATCAGGTGCCAAGGACAGAAATGACTGACAGGTCATGGCTCCCCTGGTTTTCTAGGCCTACTATAGATTAATATCACAAAAGGAAGCTTTACATAAGGAAAGGGGCACAGTCTTTATCACTGCCTATGCCAACCTACTCTTATAATCCCAGCGTTAATAAGACAAGTGGAAGGCAGCTACCTCAGCACTGGTGATTTCCCCTAAGACAAGATTTCTTGAAGGCAAATATACAGCAGTTCTAAATTTCATTTTATGACAAAATAACTGGGGCAAAGTGACCCTACTGAACCAAAGTTTTCTACATTTAAATTTACATCTATTTTTGTGTTCAACCACAAGACTAATTGTTCATTGTCTTGATAATTTCTATGGTTCTGCCTTGCTTATTTATTTATGTACCTATTTATTTGGAGTTCGGTTCACTTACGATGGATAAACATTAAATCGTATTTTTCAAGAACAGTTTCGTCGGTCACTAACAAAAAATATACCTATATGAACAACTCCATGGTACCTTTTAAACTAAACATACTTATTCAGATTATCCCAATATATTTCTTTATCTGTTTATATTAATGACAACCCGCACTTAGAATAGAACTTCTCTTTAATAATCTAGGGTCACCAAGCTGTAATAGTCCTATGAATATTTTACATAGGCAGGTTACTGAAAATATCCACTATCTAACTATTTAAGATTTTAATAGTATGTATGAAAAGTTGAGTTTAAAAGTGGACTTAAAAGCAGGAAAACCATACTTTATGTCTAAACAACATCCCAACAAAATTTACAAGACAATGATCAAATCAATAGTGAAAATGATGGTTCTTTGAGTGTCAGGCCAAAATTATGCAATGTATTGAGATGCTAGAAAACCCAGAGTTGAACACTGAATAATTAAAACTCCAGAAGTAGAAATATACCATATAAAACCAGAGGTAATCTCACAAGCCTGCAGAAAATGATACTGCTTTATATGTACCTCTTCTCTTGATAATGAACTCTAGGAAGTGAGAAGAAACTTCCAAGCTTTTTGAGCATTAGGATGAACAAAGGAACTCGTCTCAGTATCTACCCCTGGAGAAATGATCAAAAACTGGAAGCCAGCCAGTCTCTTAAATTCACCACACAGTCCATAAACCCCCAGCCTCAAATAACACTTTTGTAAGGACGTGTTTCTCACACACTGATGATCATCCCAGTGGACAGTCCCCTGTTGAGGGACTGGATAACTAATAATGAAATACACATTGGTACTTACCCAATAAAGTGTTTCTGGGTAAAATACATACATTGATATGTGCCCTTAATATTTTTACACAAGGAGATCATCATTTTGTGATGTGCAAATGAGAAGGAGCCAGTTTGTTGGCAGAAGTGTTTTAATGCTGGGTGGATCTATCTGACAAGGAAAGTCTCTCTGAACAGGCTGTAATATTGCATCTGAAGGAAGAAACAACTTCAAAATCTCTAGAAAAAATCAGTTATGATAATGTTACAAGTCTCTGTACTTAATAAAACTGATAGCTCCCTGGTGCCTCAGAGAAGCCCCTAAAACCTGTCATAGCAACTTTCAGGGCAGTCAACACACTAATTATACAAAAGGACAATCATTCCTTACAGTTTAAAGCACATTTAATAATCCACACCCGTTCTGACCTACATTTCATCACAGACAGAAGTCACACCTACAACTCACTCCAGTTCTGTTCTCGACGTGTCTAAGAGCTCCCCTGAAGTATGTTTTAGAACTAGCTTTGAAGAAAACACAAAATAAGCCAGAATAAAGTAATCTAATTTCTATCGCTATCATACGGCAGGGCTCAAGGCTTCCTGACCCCTTATCTATTCAGATTGCCTTTTCAGATCACCGTAATAGCAAACTAGAGAAACATGAACAGGGCATGTAGACACATTCTACAAAACAGCCAAGTGGCTAAACTGTATAGAAAACAAACTTTCTACTGCTTTTTCAACATAAAGAGCCTTAAACGAAGAAAATTTTGCATAATTTATTGAAAATAATCATAGCATCAAACATGCATGAATTGCGTCAGGCTTCAGAAGAGCCACGTGAAGCAGCAGGCTGTGGTTGTGGCTCAGGCAGTTTGAACTGATCTGAAGCTGAGCTGACACAGTCCTGCCCTCTGCCCTGTCCCCAGCCCAACGGTTACTGTGCTGACTGATAATGATCTTAACATTCTCCTGCTCTCCTGTCTGTCTCTCCTGCTGTTTATCTTGTTTTATACTTAGTATTTTAACTCTTTAAATGCTCTAAAATAGAAAAGGCAGAGAAGATGGAAGGAAACCTGTAAATCTTGGACTTTCATCATTATTCTCAGCCTTGTTACTTCTCTATAGACCATTATGTGAGCAATTTTCCTGAGGTTTGAGGATCTGGGTATCACCAACATAATCGCTTTAAATCTAAGTAATTAAGTTTAGACGTAGCAACAGAAACATAGATATGATAATTCTTATCAAAATTCATCATTACATGATGTTAACAGAATGAGTGGACACCAGACACATTTTGTGTAGGGGGCTGTAGAAATGCAATGTGGTTTATAACATCTTCATCAAAATTTTCCTTGACATTGAGATATGGACTATTTTAGAGAATTTGAAAAAAGATCGTAATAGTTATATGGTTATAAAACCAGAAAGCACATTAAGAAAGCCAGTTTACTATTTTGAAGGAGTGCATATTGTAACAATAAATGTATGGAACAGTTAGCCTGTAAAACCCGTCATATGAAAAAGCAATGGTAGTTCTGAGACAGAACTTGTAGGAGAGATGTATTGGCTGATTTGGTTAAAATGAGCAGACATACAAGTAACAAAGACAGGGAACAGAAGATCACTGTAAACTGTGTAAGTAAACTGAGTAAGATCTTTGTGCATTAAGGCACAAAGGCTGGCGCTTAGTGTAACAAAGAATAGAGATGAATTTTTAATCTCTTCCCTTTGTGCTTTCCTTTTCTAGGTTGCTGTCTTTTCACCTTCTTTTCCTTTCAACAGGCCTTTTCCTCCCCATCTACAGTATGATACAATAGTCTAAAGATTAAACAAAAAACTTTATAAAATAAAACCCACATAATCACATCAAATAATTTACCAGAATTTCTTAAGTAATTACTAGCTATTAATAGTTATTTTAGCTGCATTTTCACATCTCATTTATGTGCTTTTTTGTCTGAGATTAAATGCTGTATAAAGAATAGGGTGGAGTTGCATTTCTATTTTGTTTCATTATCTTCTGTATCTCTGTATCTTCTCTATGCTGGATTGCAAATGAGAACGCAATGTGCTCCAACTAAGATTTAAAATCTAATGCAGGATTTTTCTTCAGGCTTCTGATAGAAATTGTGCATTTGAAATTCCTGTCAGAGCAGAATTCATTCACTCTCTCCCTCATCTACTTTACCTGCCTCCTTCCAACTAATAGAAACATGGAAACATCTTCTCAATAACATAAGTCAACACTAGTATGTGTATATATGCACATATACAAATATATTATGCATTCATGTAAGGATGCTTATAATCCATAGAAAGCAGAACTATTCAATAAGAAGCTTTG